ATATTTTAAAATTATAAAAAAATATAATTCACAAATATTTTAATTTTGGCTAAAAATAATATATATAGTATATTAGTTTATAGTAGAGATTATAGCTTATATAAATTATTTTTTTTTGCCAAATATTATCGAATATATTGCTGAATCCTCTTCACTCTTCTCCGCCTGACAATTTTTTACATTTTGAAGACTATGCATATATCATTACAGCTAACAGTAAACAAAATCAAAGTACGCATTGGTAAAATAAAAACGATACGTAATCCGAGATTCGCGGTCTCCGATGTATCATATGCGAGTACAAAGGGGGCGCGAGCCGGAACTGCGGATCGAAATCGCAGGACGAGCGATTAAAATCGATGCCGTCACCATCGGCATGGGAGAACGACAACGGGAAACAAAAGCTTTGTAATTCCCGCGCCGTATCCGCGCTCGTCGACGTGCCGACAAATTTTTCAGATTCGTCATTCGGCCGGGATTAAGATTGAAGAGACTCGCGTGGCTCCGTGAAAATGAACGAACGAATGTACGAACGACTCACCAACCAACAGCGTGATCGACGAATAACGGCGGAAAAGAGAGCATCGATCGAGTCTCCATTAACTCCGACGACGACGTCGTCGTCGGTCGGTTTTACCCTCTTCCGCTAATCGATGGGTGACCTTATCTTGTCAAGGGTTACCGGCGCCCATAAATCTTCGGTCTTTTTCGCGGAGTAAGTTCAAGGGAGGGTACAGCCGCGATAGAAAAGACACTATGGCGCCTCCAATATAACTCGTCTAGGGTTTATAGCGAGAACAGTATAAGCGATGCAACTTGGATGAGGGATATAACGTCGTTGTGTTCCGGGTATCGTGTATACGTTGTCCCGAGAAAATCAATAGGGACGCCGACTTCCGCTTGCAAACAAGTTTCCGCTATGCAAGTCTTCTTCGCTATACTTTCAACAAAGTTCCAGAAAGAGGCGTTTTCTTCTTTTCTTTTTCCTCCCTCGTACAACTGCTCGGATAATTATACCGGATTAATACCAGATGAGCCACCGTATCCGTCTTGCAATGATGGATTAAAACTAAGGATTCACGATTATTGTTGCTATAATCAATATCCGAATCATGAGAAAAAACTTCAAAAACTAACTAATTTAAAATTATTCAGAAAATGTTGTATCCCATCTCTCTTGTGTACATCTAAAAATCATACATCCTGGACTATCACGTTATACATATACATACGAATAACATTCATTTTTTAGATACATGCATAATTTTGAATTTCCAATCAATTTGCGCATTCATTATTCATACATAAAGAATGTGACTTAATAAGAAAATAAGATTTTTATTTTTTATTTTTAATCATATTTAAATGATTTCCAAGGAAACGCAATTTTAATTTCATACTCAAACTGTTAAAATGCATTAGACACAGAAAAAATGACACAGTGAATGATGAGTAATATTGTGAGAAAATATTACGATTTCATTCTCAAAATACAATGTAATTTTTTCAATATAATCGCAAGTCCGATAGCAGAGCTTAAGAGACAAAGAGTTGACTATGTTATCAGGTTTCTGTATATATAAAAGGTGAAGTATAATATATTTTATTTATTGAAAGCAGTGCCGCGCTCATAAGAACCGCGACATTTCCCCGCGCATAATTACTGTCCATCAATATTTTAAAATTATAAAAAAATATAATTCACAAATATTTTAATTTTGGCTAAAAATAATATATATAGTATATTAGTTTATAGTAGAGATTATAGCTTATATAAATTATTTTTTTTTGCCAAATATTATCGAATATATTGCTGAATCCTCTTCACTCTTCTCCGCCTGACAATTTTTTACATTTTGAAGACTATGCATATATCATTACAGCTAACAGTAAACAAAATCAAAGTACGCATTGGTAAAATAAAAACGATACGTAATCCGAGATTCGCGGTCTCCGATGTATCATATGCGAGTACAAAGGGGGCGCGAGCCGGAACTGCGGATCGGAATCGCAGGACGAGCGATTAAAATCGATGCCGTCACCATCGGCATGGGAGAACGACAACGGGAAACAAAAGCTTTGTAATTCCCGCGCCGTATCCGCGCTCGTCGACGTGCCGACAAATTTTTCAGATTCGTCATTCGGCCGGGATTAAGATTGAAGAGACTCGCGTGGCTCCGTGAAAATGAACGAACGAATGTACGAACGACTCACCAACCAACAGCGTGATCGACGAATAACGGCGGAAAAGAGAGCATCGATCGAGTCTCCATTAACTCCGACGACGACGTCGTCGTCGGTCGGTTTTACCCTCTTCCGCTAATCGATGGGTGACCTTATCTTGTCAAGGGTTACCGGCGCCCATAAATCTTCGGTCTTTTTCGCGGAGTAAGTTCAAGGGAGGGTACAGCCGCGATAGAAAAGACACTATGGCGCCTCCAATATAACTCGTCTAGGGTTTATAGCGAGAACAGTATAAGCGATGCAACTTGGATGAGGGATATAACGTCGTTGTGTTCCGGGTATCGTGTATACGTTGTCCCGAGAAAATCAATAGGGACGCCGACTTCCGCTTGCAAACAAGTTTCCGCTATGCAAGTCTTCTTCGCTATACTTTCAACAAAGTTCCAGAAAGAGGCGTTTTCATCTTTTCTTTTTCCTCCCTCGTACAACTGCTCGGATAATTATACCGGATTAATACCAGATGAGCCACCGTATCCGTCTTGCAATGATGGATTAAAACTAAGGATTCACGATTATTGTTGCTATAATCAATATCCGAATCATGAGAAAAAACTTCAAAAACTAACTAATTTAAAATTACTCAGAAAATGTTGTATCCCATCTCTCTTGTACATCTAAAAATCATACATCCTGGACTATCACGTTATACATATACATACGAATAACATTCATTTTTTAGATACATGCATAATTTTGAATTTCCAATCAATTTGCGCATTCATTATTCATACATAAAGAATGTGACTTAATAAGAAAATAAGATTTTTATTTTTTATTTTTAATCATATTTAAATGATTTCCAAGGAAACGCAATTTTAATTTCATACTCAAACTGTTAAAATGCATTAGACACAGAAAAAATGACACAGTGAATGATGAGTAATATTGTGAGAAAATATTACGATTTCATTCTCAAAATACAATGTAATTTTTTCAATATAATCGCAAGTCCGATAGCAGAGCTTAAGAGACAAAGAGTTGACTATGTTATCAGGTTTCTGTATATATAAAAGGTGAAGTATAATATATTTTATTTATTGAAAGCAGTGCCGCGCTCATAAGAACCGCGACATTTCCCCGCGCGTAATTACTGTCCATCAGGGTCCTCTTTAGAGGATCCCGGTCGTCACTTCGTTTAAATATACGTGCAGTAATTCCTCAAAGGCTGCCGCGTCTCGGTGCCACGATGTTTCTTGTCCTCCATCACGGCTGTCGTTCGCTTGGCAATAAGCCACAGTCACGCCTTAGATTAATTTCGCACAAAATTTAACGGGAGTCTGCTACAACCGCCTCTAAAGTTACGGCCTAAGTGCTTTACGATGTACCATTTACGACGGGCCTCCATTTTACGTCTGTTTAAATTCAATATACACTCTTTGCGCCTGCACAAGTTCCGTGAACTTCTCTGTATACCTTATAGCCAGCTCTCAGGCACGTTATATCTTGGGCACAGCTGGAGGGCACCCGAGAAAAGGGGCACACACAAGAGTCAATATAATACTCTCTGCTTGATCATTGATACTTCACGCGCTTGGTTACTTACTTTAGGCTTCAATTCTGAGAAACGAAGGTAAATCTGGTAGAGATTTATAAATTTCTATATTTTTTAAATATATAAATATTACGTGAACACACGTGATGGTAATTAATAAATACTTAAAGACTACCAATAATAATAAATCATGTTTTTACTTATATAAACAAAAATCTGAAATGAAATATCACTTATAATTCCCTCGCTAAAAAATTTGATAATATCAAAAGAGATAAATATTGCTACAACGGTCCTTACGCGGTATCTGGAAAAATAAAAACGATTGGTAGAGGTTGACATTTATCTGATACTCCACGTGTATTCATCGAAATATGACATCTTAGTGATGTTTACGTGTGCAATCGGATTGCGGTGGAACAAACCGAGGAGTTTGTTGAAAAGAGCAGCTGCAATCCGACCATGCCATTTTCAATGTCGATCACGTAGCTTTGATATCACGTATTAGGAACGTATAAGCACAATGCGAATGCACGTCCTCGCCTCTCAATAAACGATTTGTCCCATTTTTCGCGGAAGTACGTCCGACAGGAGGTATGTCGACATTCGTCAAAGTGTCGTTAAGTAAGAAAATGTTTGTGAGAAGCGTGTTGTTCGCATGTAACAGACAAACGAAGCGAATTCACGACTTGTTAAAGTTCTTTTCCCGTTCTTTCGTAACCGGAAATTTCGCCTGCAGAATAATTTTCTGTAATAAGTTATGGTGATTTGCGGTGAAATATTTACGTGAAACGTAAAAATCGATGTATGTCAAGTCAAATGTGAAGTGTAGTGAATTTATAATAACATACAGAGTATAGTCTTTAAGAGAAAATAATTATAATACAATGAGAGACAATAATGATAAAATTTTTTATCAGACATTAAAAATTCCGCAAGCTTTTCCTGAAAATGGAGCATTTCCACAAATCGGATTATCGTATATTTAATGCATGCTAATAATATCAAACATTTCTCTTTAAAATAATCTGTATAGAGAGAGAAAATACATTCTTTTATAAAAATAGAAGTATGTTTTTTTTTCAACTCTGCCCTTAATATTCCGTTATGTTTCCCTCGCTAATCTACCATATTTAACCGGTATCCCTTTTTACGGATAATGTAAAAATAACCAATCGCGATTATTTTCTACGCTACGTATGCACACAATTCTCTGAGATAAAAATATATTAAATTATATAGAAGCGGGAAGTACGTTAAATTATACATCGGTTGCGTTACAAAAGAAAAAGATCTACTCGCTATCCAGTCCGGTAAATTAGCAAAGCGGTATGTACAGGTGGTTGCAAACACGTCACCGGATTACACGTGGCGGTTGCCATGCGCTAAAATGATGCGTAAAACAAACGCGATGACACATATGTAACGAGTGTGTCCTGGTCGCACCAGTAAATTGCAAGCACTTTAATTTCGCGGTGACACCTCGTCTGCCTTTTCCTCCTTCCCTTCCCTCTTCCTTGATCTCTTCCTTTCTGCGCGTTTCTTGCATTATTACTTACCCAGCGAAGAACATGAGAAGAAACCACGAGCCAGGTACGGCGAACATCAGTATCGCATCCTCCGCGTGCCGATTTCCGACGACACGACATGGAATGCACGCGAGAATGAGTAGATTGCTGATCACGAATATCAACTTGGCCGGTTCGTGGCTCTGAAATGCAAATGCGCGCAGGAACGTTAGTGCAGCCGCATGCACTCTTGCAACGTTTCAGGAACGTCCGCAGAGGAATCGATATTTTCGTGTAAGTTCGATTCGCCCTATGATTTAACTGCGTCGTCACGATGACAACGCCTAGCGCGAAATTTGCTCAATGTGCAAAAAGATGAAAAGATTTCATCTGTGACTTTTGTACGTATACATCTATTCCTTTTCTGTTTCTCAAGCTTGCTTAATTTTACATTAATCGGAAATGTCACAAATTCTCTTGAGAAGGAATAAAATAAATAAATATGCTTAATATTTAAAAAAAAATATAATATAAATGTATATATGCGTATTGTATTTTAAACACTTGCGTGATCTTTTAACGAGCACTCGATTATACTAATACAGCCACAAACAGTAGTTACGAGAATATAAAAAATTAAAACGTATTATGCTTATATTTGCACGTGCGATCAGATAAAATATTTTTGCTCATCAAGGGATTGGGGAAATTACACATTGTCCGACAACGAGACTCGTAGGCTCACGCACGTTAACGTTTTTAAATTGTCGCCGGTATTAATTATCCGCAAATCGAACCGGACGCGCGGATTGGGACTCGCGTTTAATAATGCAACGATATAGCTTAACATCGTTCCGATTGTATTGGAACAGAGCGGCGTATATATGCTATTGATCCAGCACCAGCAATAACCAACGGTATGTACATATATGTACAATATATTCTCTCTTAATTGATAGATGTGGGTAGATAGCCGATAGGTATGCACGCCACTACGTCGATATTTTCTATATTTTCGTGATCTCTTGTGAGAATCCTTGACTTGAGAAAAAATATACACGGCATAAATTATATTACTAATTATATATTTAAATATAGACATTCTAGATATAATTTCTAAATATATATCTATATATATATATAATTATATATTATAGATTTTTTTATAATATGTAAAAGAGGAAAAGAGAAAATTTAAATTGAAGTTATACTATTTCCGTGTTTATAGTTTGCCGGAAAAAATTCATTTTTATCATTATCGAGGACATATATCGAAATATCGCCTCCATCGAAAATGCTTTCAAGGTAATCAATCATTCTACTGTTGGCAGTGTCTTTTCCGAGATTTCATTTTCCTACGATATTCAACTATAATGTGATCGTGCAAAACAATAAAATTTTATTATAAATTTTTATTATAACATTAATCTAGTAAGGGGTAATTAAGAGAGACGTATGTTTATCGTGTTTTTATAAAAATGTACACGTTTATTTTTATAAAATAAAAAAGAAATCTGTAAATGTTTTCTAATTTTCTAACAATATTACATTTAATATGATCCGATTTATTACAAATATAATAAACAAGAGAATTAATTACTTGTCATTTCACATCTGTAATTTGGTAAAAACTCTTTCTTTTATATATCGTTTCTAATCATATCACGAGTTAATAAGGCTAATAAAGAAAAAAAAAACAGAAAATGCCACTTGTTAATATCGATACCGCTGCCGCTATACCGTTATACGTAATGCTCTCGTAATCATCAACCTATCTTTTTCTTATTCATCGGGCTTATTAACGCGTGAAAGATTAGTGGCACGAACGTACAGCTTCCATAGCGGAATATACATCGATACATCCATAGATCCGTTACAGTTCACTAGCCTCGGGATTTGCGCAACCAGCCGCGTTTAGCCGGTATTGGCGCATTGAAATTGCACCGTTGAGAGTATCAGCATTGAGAGCCATCACGAAACAACGGGATGTTTCGCGATCGGTCGAAACGACAAAGATGATGCAGCGACGACGGAACTAGGGGCGTTTTAGCTGACTTAAAGATTTCGGGCCATGTTGGTTACATAAAAAATTGTTTAACCATTTTTTATTCATGAAATCAAACGTCTTGAGTTTCACGCATGATGATTTGTTCAAAATTTCTTCTTCTCCATCTTTTTTTTTTCAACAAAATTTATTTACTTTAACAAATCTCAGTTCAAATTCTAACTCCAATTTATATATTTTTTGTGTAATATTCTATACTTAATAACACGATAGAGAGAAAACTGTTGAGCTAGTATCATAACGTCATTCTTTTCGCGATTTAATATCTTTTTCGAATAAAATGAGTCTCCCGGGGCTAAGCAATAAAACGTCCCTGACGGCTATCTATCTCATCGCGTCGAAAAAATTTGCAATGCCTACCAGTTGCTTCAGGAACGACAGCGGTCCGACGTTGATCATCTCGCCACCCAGCTGTACCAGGATGTAATTGAGCACGCCCAACACGGTGATGCACTCCGCCGCGGTGCGGACGACGTCCGTTATCTCCTCAGGCCACTGTAGCAGCACAGCATCCACGTCCGCGGGCCTGAAGTATACGGCTAAGGACAGCGAGGCCAGGTGAAACACCAAGATAATCAATCGCTTCAGGAACTGCAACTTTTCAGTGAAGAATAGATGTCGGTGTATGCATCTACAAAACTTTCCGCATCGATTGGCCGGAATATAAGAGCAAAGTTTTACAAGCGGTAATGTAAAGGTAAGAAAAATACGCGAAAATATCGCCGGTCCCGGGGCTAAGCTCAAAAGATCTCTCCGGATACGAGATAAACATTCGAGATGATGCATTTCTGATCTCTCGCATATCTTAGATTGATATTTATTCTCGGAACCTGATTATTGAGAGCGAATTTATGCTGCAGAATTAATCGGCGATACTCTTGGCGCGAGATAAAAATAATTTTTTGTTGCGGGATAAAAATAATTGCTATTTGTATGTTGATTAATTTTTTGTTGTTGCACATTTAATATTGCACGCTTGTTTACTCATAAGTAACATCAATCCTAAACAAGTTAAGAAAATTCTTAATTTCCCGCGAAATTTCAAAATTTGTGGATAAATTCTAAATATGAAAAAAATTCCACACTTGACATGACATTGTTGGAATATCCCGCGTTATCGCTGCACGTAACCGTATTATCGCGCGATAATCCAATTAACAAATGCAACGTTTAACGTCTTCCGTTTTATCTTTATTCCACTTTATCCCACCGCTTATTTGTAAAGCGACCATTGTACGCGCTTCGTTTAACGGATAAAATCGCTCTAACCAAATACTCCCGGGATTGACTCCTATATGATCCGATAATAGGGAAATCATAGCCGGACGAGTACAGTAATACTGCATATTGCGTCTACGTGCGGTCCGAGTGTGGCCGTGATTAGTGCCATAAATGGGACACGTTATGGACGCAGTGCAGTTATAATATGCGCGATACGCGAGCTCGTCTGCTAGAGCCTTTAGCGTACGTACGAAAGCTTGTTTGTGATGCGAGCGTAATTGCAATCATAGTCTGCCCGTATAACTCCGATAGCTATCGTTTCAAAATCACTGAGCCACCATTGGTCCGCGATGGAGTGACTTGAAATAATCGGCGCAAATTATACTACCATCACCGAAAGCCTCATCGACGTCATTCGGCCGATCGGCTGATCGACGTTAATCGTTCGGAGTCACGAGAGAAAGACAGAGATAAAGAGAAAGAGAAATCGTATTCTATATCGCGTAAACAACGGGATGATATGTGAATTGTAAACGCGCATCTTGATCGAAGCACCGTAAAAATTTGATCGTTATATGTATCAATTTTTAATAAACATCACTTTTTTATGTTTGTGCGTTTTTCTTTTTCAAAAATTAACGTTTCCTAAATATGTTAACATTTTTATTTTTTCCCGAAAAGAATATTTACAATATTATTTACAAAATAGTGATTTAATAAAAGAAAACCTTCTTTTTTCAAAATTCCAGAGAAGAATTTTATTACCCGATATATCCGATATTACCCGAGCTCCCTCGTGACACGAACAGCTTTGTGATTATTTATCGGTATTTGTCCAAGCGACTCGCGACCTCGACTACATAAAATATACAAACGAAAAAGCATATCGCGATGTAAGCCGGTCATCTTTAAAGTGGTCGCGTAAAGATTTCCTAAAATATGGCTTGACAACATTTGAAATTGCTTTTTAGTGAATAGAAATATCTTTAAATGCATATCGATATATGCATGTAGAACATTTTTATGAGTGATAGATTCTTTGATAAATTTAGAATTAGTTCATCTCTAAGTAATATTTAAAATAGAAGATCTCATTTTTTTTACGATATTACTTATCAAAGCGATAGCTTTTAATGATGATTAATTTTCAGATATAAAAATATATATATTATTATTAAATATATATCGTAATGTCAGGTGACATAATTCTATTTTCCTGTGACATACACGGACACAATACACGCGCGCATATAAAGAGAATGATATATTTTAATTTCGAAATATTCCATGGAAATATTTATTTCCTGATATGTTGCAATTAAAGTTATCTTCGGCGAGAAGACTATTATCTTATTTTTCAAGTCTATACTATTTCATCCCGAAACAATATACAAAGAAAAAAAAATAAATATTCGAAATGGCACTAAAAATTGAATTAATAAAAGATGAGACTTCTCAGTGCGCTACGTAAGTCTATCGTTACAAACAAAATCTCAGGTCATTGTGGCGAAGTCAAACATAAAAGCGACGAGATGTTGAAAAACTTAGAAATATAGTAACGTCTTATATAATTCAACGAGAAACGAGCATGGAACGCCATCACGTGGACGCACTTACTCGCGCGAAAGTCTTCCATTTTTCCTCAAGTAATCGCTGAATAATACCACCGTCCAGCATGTCCAAGTGCTCCTCCTTCGTACCGTTCAGAATGATAAATAGCGCGGAGTTCCAGTCTGAAATAGAAATTCGGAGAGAGCCATTTGCGGTTAATGGAACATCGCTTTAGGGTTTGCGCCGCGATAATTATGGGTTTTGCATTAGTGAGCGTGCATATATAGCATGCGGTGTATACAGGTGCAGGTGCGCCTTTTCGACATTCCTCTCCCGCTGCCGCATCCGGCATGAAAGTTTCCCGCTGTAAGGGCGGAAATTTTCCGCCGCCGCTGCCGCCGTAAGATCAGAGGACAAAATTTCTAATGCTGTTAAGGTTTCGTTTGAAAACGACCGCAATCACTAAAGAATAATACAACGTACCCGAATAATGTTCGTGTATATACTTGACGTGCGACGAACCAAGCGATCCGTGGAAACATTCCGATAATTCCATTTTGTGAGGTTGATATTTAAATATTTGAATTACGACTTTTAAACATTTTAACGCGATCGATATAATACATCTTTTCGTTCTATTGAATCGTATCGAATCGTGCATTATTAAGCGCAACATTTATGTGCGCGTTACTAGGAGTCTCAGTTGTATCGATCGTATGCATCTGTCGTCGCACTTTGCCCGGCTTTGGCGCGAGCGCTAAAGTAATTGGAACTTGGAGGATTGTATCCTCGGGAGTCCTTAATTACCGCTCGACACGGGCGAAGGTGTACAAGGTAGCTTGACCCGTCAAAAACAATGCTTTCCGGCTTTGGAGATTGTCTATTGCCACATATTATTTTAAGTTATTTCAGTATCTTTTCTGATATCCGCATTATATAATATTTCCTTTATGATATAAACTTTAGAGAATAAAAATAGTGAGCGGAAAAAATTTAAGTGTCTGAAGACAGAATTTTGAATTCCGATAACAAATACACGGCAGAAAATTTTGCACTGGCTGAGAAGCTCTCAAATGATTATACATTTATAATTTCAAGGCTTAGCTTGTGGATTGCACGTAGACCGGTTGCGCACGCGTCCGCATGCTAATACCAATATCTTCAATCATCCGGTCTTTAATTTTGCATGATGGCCACTGATCTCCGACTCCAAGCCGGCAAAGTTACTAACGCGTATCTGTTACCGCAGCACGTAATTATATCTGACTTTAGACTACGCGCAAAGCTGTATAGTTTTCCCCGAGTTTCCCTTAGAGTATATCCTCTTGGCTACTATCTAGTAACCTCGGCCGGACATTGAACCGCGAGCTTAAATAACAAAGTACCACTTTGGCATTCCATTTCCTCCGATCGGCAATAATTATTTTGGAGAATCGATCGTAAAATTAATTAGAATGTATCTCTTCGTAATAGCTGACCTTTAAACTATATTTAATTGTGTATAGTACAAAAAAGAGACCCTTTCCCATAATAATAATAAAATTAAAATATTCAAATTAGAAATAAATTATTTATAAGTTATTTAAAATAAGGCAAAAGCGCTAAATCTCTTTAACAATGCAAAGTCTTAGAGACTATGGCTTACTGTAAATTCGATTCTACGCTGTTCGAAATAATTAAATTACATCCAATTACACATTTATTCAATTACTTTGTAAAGAATATATTTATTGCCAGGATATATATATTTACTTTATCTATATAAGATAATTCTTTATTTCCTTCCTGCCTTTTTTTATAAAATTTGTTATCACTTAATTTCTAAGGCTCTCTATCATTGCCATCGCGATAAAACCTGTGTTGGATATTCTCGAAATAGACATCAGCACACTTCTACATTTCTCTCGGGTCGACAAGTCGATAGGTTCTGGTATCGAAGTTAAATAATAGAAGAGAAAGAAGCTCCGTGACAGGAGCTCAACAGATAATTAAAATCGCATTGGTGTCTACCGGGTGTCGTCAAGTTCTAAAACAATTTTTCTAACGAAAATTTCACGTTTAATACTAAAAATTAAATAAATTAAGCACAAGAAATGTAAATAGCAAAAATATCGCGTTTGTTTAATGTTAAAAAAGTTGGACTATATCCTGTGATAAAAATATAGTATAACATAATAAATTGCAGAAATAATAAAATGTCCTTTAAAAAGTATTTTTATATAAATTGATATAGAATATATATCACTAAATTTTATCGCCTGTATAAACGGAATACCCTATAGATAACTTATCGATACATTCGTGGAAATTTTTGGTATGTACGTACATATGAGTTCTAATATATCTAATTAGTTCTAATCTAATATATCTATATATATCTAGTATCATATCGTCTATAAATATAAGTGCCGACAGATATAATAAAACGAAGAAAATCGCTTCGTTAACATAATTTTCTGCTCTTTCCATAATGCATAACGTAACCACATAATGCTGCTTTTTGCTCGGGCAAAATACAACAAATAGTTCTTACGGATTAACATGAAATCAAGATGTTTTACATGTACAGCTTTCGTTATAACGCAAAACACAAAGATTTATGCAGACTCATTTATCTAGCTGCTAAAAATTAAAAGATTTTATAAATTTTACCAAGGAGCACAACAAATTTGATGTTAAGTTTCAGTATTAATTTTTAGAAAATAAAGAAACCATATTTTTTTCTCTCGCACCATAGAAATTATTTTCAATGGTTAAAAAATTCTTTGTAATGTGCATATTTTTTTAGGTATATATATTTCTTCTCAATACTCTCGAATGTACGTGAAGAAATGTGAATTTCAGGTCAATGTACTTAAAAAAAATAAAATAAAATAAAATATTTTATATACAATCAAGTGGAATATTATTGCCCCCGCATGAGCAATTTTCGCGGACTCGTTTGCATTCTAGAACTACTGGATTTCTCTATGGCGTCGCTTACACGCGAAAAAAATTCTGAAATAGGAATTTATGCGACATGGAAGAGGGCAAGCGTCTTAACGATCGCGCATCAGAACCTGTCTCCGGCTAAGAATACTGTAACCGTCTCAAAGTCTCAGTGTGACATTTACATGCGACAAACATTGTCGTAAGATTATTCGCAAGTTAATCGTGTTTCACGTAAATTTGCATAAATATAGCATGTAAAAATTCGATTATTTCTATTTAAAAATTTTCAAACATTTTTGCCAAATATTATAAAAAAAATATTTATAAAATATTTATAATATATATTTATAAAATATAAATACTCACATATCACATTCATGTTCTTATTTCAATCTACTTCTTATTAGTGCGTATTTTTATGTGCCACAGAGAATTAATTCGTGGATGATTGTGTCGTAAAAAATGACAGCACAAATTGCGCGCCGAAGTATCTCGGAATTTTTTTTGCAGCGTGGTCTTTTTCTAGCGCAGATATGATAGCGGAAGTTACACGAAAATAACATTTCGCGTGAGCATCGCGCGCTTACGACGCAAGCCCCGAATTAAAGCGGGAGAAAAACGTTGGTAGAGAACGTCGACGAGGGGAATGGCTTTCCTGCT